CGATTTTCTATCAGGCAGGCCAATTAATGTCTTTCATTTTTTCTTTTTAATTTTCCATGAAATAAATAACGATCGATGAAAAATCGCGAATCAATTCAAAGATGAATAAATTTTGTTTCTATTTTATTCGCGTGCACGAGCCGATGTAGGTGTGGGTGGGTGTGGATGTGGGTGGGTACGAGTGTGGGGTGTGGTATGGGTGTGGAGTGGGTGTGGGGTGTGGGGTGTGGAGCGGGTGTGGGTGTGGGCGTGAATGTGAGTGCGGTTGGGTGTGGGTAGGATGTGGGTGGGTGTGGAATGTGGGTGTGGGTGGGTGTAGGTGGGTGTGGGTGGGTGTAGGTGGGTGTGGGTGGGTGTAGGTGGGTGTGGGTGGGTGTAGGTGGGTGTGGATGGGTGTAGGTGGGTGTGGGTGGGTGTAGGTGGGTGTGGGTGGGTGTAGGTGGGTGTGGGTGGGTGTGGATATGGGTCTGAGTGTAGGTGTGGGTGTGGGTATGAGTGTTATTCTTGTCTTCGTTTCCAGCACCACTATAACCATACCCACACCCACACCAACACCCTTTTCATAATAATAAGACAGCTTTTCTTCATCTTGTCTTTTGTCCATCATCATATGAAATTTTCGATTTGGCTACACATTCATTTATTAACAACAAAAAAAAAAAAAAAAAAAACTTTAACCAAGAATCACATCTTTCTTTATCAAACAAAAAAAAGTTATCCTTACAAATCAACAGAGAAAATATCTTTATTTTGAGCAATAACAAAATAAAGAAAAAAGATTTTTTTAACAAGACTAAATTTGTTTTTATGACAAAAAAAAACCTTGATCAAGTACGAAGATTTGTGTAATGAATAATCAACCTTTTCGTTTCTTTCCTTTTTGTTCATTGTTCTTTCTAAAATTATAACAAAAAAAAAAAAAATTTAAACATATTTATTGAGGGTGTACCTGTCGAACACTTTTTTAACATTATAGAAATTTATATTTTCCTTTACATTTTCAATATCTTCATCATCTAGAAAGACAAAAGGAAAACACTTGAACAGTTCTATTAGTTTTGAATATTTACATATTATATACTTACAACGTAATTTTAATTTTGAAAAATCATTTAACATTTTATCGTTATGTATTGCAGTTTTGGATTCACTAAAAATTATAATTGAGATCAATAATAAAATATAATTGTCTTACTGATAAATCAAAAAAAATTCTTTATCTTTATATATGTCAAAATCGAGCAGTTGCATTAATTGAACATCTAATACAACTTCTATAAGACAAAATAAATAATGCCAACTAATTAAAAGTCTGTCGAATCATAAATTCAATTCGATCAAACTAATAAATATCATTGTATTTACCGTTAAATTTTTCATACTTAAAGTTTAGATTGATTCTATCAATCAAAGCAAACATAAGATAATCTTTCAATTCGACATCTTGTTGATGTTGATTGGTTGATAAACGATTAATAATATCTGACAAAATCTACCAATAGTTAATATATATTATATTTAGACAAAAGTTCAAAAGCTATTTACCTTTAATACTTCATTGTCTTGTTTTTTGCACATATGAAGTTTAACTTTTCCATTTGAAAGTGTTATTTCATCTTTTATAGTTGTCATATTGAAATTGATTTTTATTAATCGCAAAATCGTCGTAAATGTAATAGAAAGTTAATTATGAAGCAAAACACCACCAACAAATTTCTTTTTAATCAAACAAATAAATTTGTTTCGATTAAATCAGAATAATTCACCACCAGCAAGTTATCACCAGCACGAAATTCTTTTTAATAAAACAGATAAATGTGTACTAACTTAGACGAATAAATTTATCAGCAAGCAACCACCACTACCACAACTAATTTTTTTTTTAAAGAAAATATATGCAAACACGCCAATTTATATGAATAATTCGTCGGACGAAAACTAGATAAAGAACTATTCATGTGAATAGTCATCACAATGACAAAGGCTCGAAACAAACAGACAAGAATTACTATTACAATAAGAGAAATAATCTTATAGGACCAAAAAAATCAATCAATCAGAAAGTCGACAGAATAAAGACAACGTTAGAGAGAACAAAAATATGGAGATGTCCGTCCTTTACAAGACAAAATTTAAGATGAATATCTTAAATTCATGTTCCTTTGATTTATGATCGAGTGACGAGTCCAAACTCGATTACCAGTTGCAATGCTTTTTAGAAAAAAAGCTTATATCTTTGCTTTACAACGTCTATTTGAGCTTGTTCTTTTTTGTAGGATAGAATGAGAGACACTCTAAATTTCTGTCGATTTTTTTATTAATTAATACTGACAATTAGAAAAACGTTTAGTTGACACTATTGCTCGCTCTGTTCTTTTTCTAATTCAATCACTTCATGCATTTTTTTTCGTAATTTGATCATTTACATGGAATTTGACGGTAGTGCTCAGCAAAACGGCTGTTTCGTGGGAAAAAACTTTTCGGTTTGATAAAAAAAAAAATTATATCACTCAATTTCTCAGCTCACAACCTATCTGTCTGTATATTTTTTATCAATATTTATCGTCATCTTCACCATTTTCATTGGGTTACTTTTGTGATCAAATTAGCACACTCATCTTAATTTGATCACCTAATGGAAAATACATGCTGTTGCAGTGAAAAGTCGAAACGAACTTGTTGGTGCTGCCCAAAGTACGAAATTCTGACCTGATGTCGGTACAAAAAATGTAGTACTAATCAAGGACTATCTCTACATATCATGAAGAGTGATATGAACGAATAATAAAATTTTGTTTTTATAAAGGAGAGAAAATACTGTTTTTCATTAATTTATTAATTCAATTTACATAAAAATGCGAATATACAAATCATAAAATTCATTTGGAAAGACATATTGAACGGCTACATCCATTTTGCGGACATTTTTTTCAGCCAATTAAGAGAAAATGTCCGCAAAGTAGAATCGGAGGGGAGAGACACAAATGACCGCACGTTGGAAAATGTCCGCAAAATGGAATCGATAGAAAGAGACAGAAATGGCCGCATTACAGAATGAAGACAAAATGTATTATGTGAAAAAAAATACAGAAAAATTGATTGATGAAAGACATTAAAATATCTAATTTTGTGGAGGTTCATAATCAAGATCATCCTTGTCAGTTGTATCGAATACGTTGATATATCGATAATAAAAAGACCGCAGTCTCTTTTGATAACCACTAAGATTCAAGACACCATCCAAATATTCTTGTTTTGCTTTAATCAAAATGTTTTCATTGG